GTCAGTGCTCTTAACAACAGTTATTAGCTGAATACATTAATGAATGACAATTGACATTGAACAGGAATAAATACATAAAGAAGTAAAACACAAAATAAGAACAAAAAAATAGATGTGATAAAGACCAAGATTCAGTGAAACAATCACAATCCAATCAATATGATGCCTTGAAGTCCATCATTTTGGTGTGATTAAGTAGCGATTTTTCTCTGCAGATGATGAGGTTGTGGGATGTGATGCATCTGAAATACACAGTTGAGTTTAGAGTTACAGCGTGTCCATGTGTTTGTGTAAAAACAGTTATGTTTATGAAGGCCAAAAGCAAAAATGGACAGTATGTGAGCAATCTTAAAAGAAAAAAAGTGATATAAAGTCATGATGGGATAGTTTTAATATTTTTTGTGACTGGGTATGTTTATACATAAACCCAAGTAATAATGAACAAAATCTAACAATATGAATTATAAATTGAACACAAAGAACCATTTCAGCATGAAAGGGTTCTTCAGAATGCTATGGTTCTAAATAAAACCATTGCTGCATGTAAAGAACCTTTAAAGAACCATCTTTTTTTGGAGTGTAGATACATATATCTACTGTTCATCCATTCGACCATAAACATCATATTCTTTGTAGAGCAGGAAGTTCTTCAGTGTCGGGGGGAAAGGAACGGTGCTCATGAACTCTGGGTCATTCAGTTTTGTCAGTGTCATACGTCTCCTGATAACCAACCTGGCCTGGTGTTTCAGAGGGCGTGGCTTCCCTAATACCAAACAGTCATAAAGAAATTGTTATTCTTTGTGTCTCATACAGGTTTGGAAAGACATGAATGGCTAACAGGTGTCTTACTAAGGATGTCACAGATATCGGGCCACTCCTCCTGTCTCTCCAGAATAAGTTGCAGTTTAGAACAGATGTGCACATGATTCACATAATCTAGGAGTGTCAGCACCACCCTCCCTGCCAAGTGTGCCATCCATGCCACGCTAATAAACTCACCAAACTTTAAAACAGAATAGAGTACATAATTAGGCCACATATAAATAGATATTCACAAAGAATGAATTGTGATCACTTCTTGCATTGTTATAGTAATCACAATAAAATGCACTCACACATCTCTTAAAAAAATAGTAACAGCGCAACATTTATTGAAATAATGCATTTTATAATAAACCTAACTTATGCAGATATGAGGTATGTTTTAAATGTTCAAGATGCAGCGCTATACTAGCACAGGTAGCACCTGGTTAAGCTGGTTTTCAGGGGTTAGTTAATAAGACGCATGTTTTTGCGCATGCAAAAGTGGCACAACTCCACCCCATTGTTTTCTAGACCCCAAACATGATACTTTAGAGCCACTTTGTCCAGATTGCTCTTGTTTTGACTTTACTATAAAGCCTCTGATTGCATTGTTTGTTGCATTTTCAGGTGGTTAGTTAATAAGACGCATGTTTTTGCGCATGCAAAAGTGCTGCAACTGTTAGTGAGTTCACCACATTGTTTTCTAGACCCCAAACATGATTCTTACGGTTACTTTATTCGTTGCACTCTTGATTTGGTATGACTGGCTAGGAGCCTCTGTCCACGTGTATGTTGTTACACAGTTGTCGTGGTAACACTCAAAGCAGCTTTCTGCATGGTAACCGTTGTTAAGGAGCAGGCGCAGCATCATTTCATCTTTGATGCAGTACTGCAGTGCGGTAGGAAATAAGGTGTTGCTGACAACGGAGAAGACGCAGTTGACGTCTGCCCCGTAGGCGAGAAGCAGCCGCACCAGCTCGTACTTCCCAGCTCTGACCGCCACCAGGAGGCAGCGCAGCGGGTCCAGGTCGGGCTTCGCACCTGCTTTCAGAAGCATCTCGGCGCACGTGACGTCTCCATTGCAGACGGCGAAGTACAGCGGGGTCTTCCTCATGTCACTGTAGTTTTCGGAAATATGGCAGCCCAGGATTGGATTGACGTCAAAGCCTTTCTTGATGAGCAGCTCGAGACAGTCAGCCTGGCCTCCGTCCGCCGCAGAATGAACCGGACTCATCCCAGACAGACGGATGGCCCTCTTAGTGGTGATGAGAATGAATCTCTTCAGAGCCCTGTCAGGTTAAAGAGAGAATATATTTATTAGTGCAGAGATGTCTGGTAAAGTGTGGCGAGATTGATTTGCTGTGCTCTCACAGGTAGTGCCCCTCGTAAGCTGCGCGGTGAATCGGCAGTTGACAGCAAAGACTGGCTACATTAGGACTGGCGCCATGTTGTAAGAGTAGATCAATGCAGTCCAGGTTCCCACAGCCTGCAGCGTCATATAACACACTGTCTCCATTTGTAGCTTGTTCTGTGACGTCGCCCCCTAGAGGTAAGAGCAAGAAATACATTAATTTTGGGGGAATGAACCTGTAAGTGTACAACCAATGTACATTTGCCTAAATTGGTCTACTATAACTATAAACATAACTATATTAGTGTCCACACCAACAGACAATACATTTTTTTATTATAAGCATGTACTGCAGTTATGCTGTCTGCCACTTTAAATGCTCAAGCTCCCCATACAGCAAAAAATTAAATTAAATTAAATTTTAAAAATTGTAATTAAATGTATACATATATTTTTGTAATTTAACATTTTTGTATAGTTTTGAAAATATAGTTTTTAAATATATATTTTAAAAGCATTTAAAAGATATTTTGCTCTTTATATTTCTGTCCAAAAAATACATTCCCAAATTTCACACTGGAACAAAAACTTTATTTGTTGCCTATTACAAGTGTGAACATGTAAAAATTTAATAAAAAAATAAGTATAAAATATTGGCTACTGTTAGATTGGAGATGTATTCTCTTGCCCCTAAAATACTAATTGAAATATACAGGTGCATCTAAAAAAGTTAAGAATATATTCTAGATTCATTACATGTAAACTAAAACATTTCAAAAGTTTTTTTGTTTTGTTTTAATTTTGATGATTAGAGCTTACAGCTCATGAAAGTCAAAAATCCAGTAACTCAAAATATTAGAATATTTCCTAAGATCAAAAAAATTATTTAAAAAAAGGATTTGCAAAACAGAAAACAGCAGACGTCACGGCACCCCAAATCATCACCGACTTCAGAAACTTCACACTGGACTTCAAGCAGCTTGGATTCTGTGCCTCTCCAGTCTTCCTCCAGACCTTGATTTCCAAATGAAATGCAAAATTTACTTTTATCTGAAGAGAGGACTTTGGAGCACTGAGCAGCAGTCCAGTTCTTTTTCTCCTTAGCCCAGGTAAGATGCTTCTCTCGTTTCTGTTTCAGAAGTGGCTTGGTAGCCCTTTTCCTGAAGACGTCTGAGCTTGGTGACTCTTGATGCACTGACTTCAGCTTCAGTCCACTCCTTGTGAAGCTCTCCCAAGTGTTTGAATCGGCTTTGCTTGACAGTGTTCTCAAGCTTGTGGTCATCCCTGTTGCTTGTGTACAGCACTCTGTGAACAGCCAACCCTTTCAGTAATGACCTTCTGTGACTTACCTTCTTTCACAAGTTCACACTTAAAGGTTAGGCGTATTTGGCGTGCTGTCCGAGGGGAGGGCTCCGAGCTCGGAATTTTGGCCCGAACCCATATTTGCCATATTTAGCATTTATTTGTAATATATTTTGACCAGAAAAAGTCATTATAATTTTTGTTTCTGATTGGCTGTCAATGATTTCATTGTTCAAATAACTGGGGGAAAAATTATGAAAATGATTCCAACTCTATTGTTCCTCTGTGTTCTAGTCAATTGTAATCAGTGTAATTTATCATTTACATTAGGGACGGATCTAGAGTTATTTAGACTTGCATACACCTGACTTACCATGTTCGATAAGGATTTCCAGTATTTCCGGATGGCCGTACTCTGCGGCGATGCCCAGCGGTGTGACCCCATGACCATCCCGTCCCATGGCCTTCCCCCTGTGTCTCAGCAGCAGCATCAGGATGTCCATGCAACCCACTTTAGCAGCCTCATGGGTGACCGTCCATTTCTTCAAACAAACCTGCTGCACGGAGGCGCCTCCCATTATCAGTGCATGAACCATATCATACGAGTTTGCCCTCACAGCTGCAAAAGGAAACGTAGGAATATGATCCTGAAACCTAGTGTAAGAACTAATGCTAAACCTGAAACAGTGTTAAGCTATGCCACATTTTCATATACTTGTACAAAACCATGATGCACTTTCTTGCACAAGCCAGTGTGACTAGTGTGATGGATTTAATGCTATTTTTATAAAGCTGTGCTTAAATTGGAATGTACAGTATGAGGTGTAATTTTAGATGAGGGGGTGAATTTAATTTAAAAGTAAAAATAAATTATATCTGGCAAAATAAAATTATTTAATCTTTTAATAATATTTTAGGACCATTTATATTTTTGCCTTTAACAATATTTATGTGGCAATTCAACACATTTATCCCAATTCTCAGTTGCCAGCTGTTCTGTGGAGAAAAAAAATAAACGATTTAAATTGTAAATTACAGTATTTGTACAGTATTTTGTTGTGCTGAAGTAATGCTGATTTCAGATTCTGAAAATATCAATATAATAAAAAATATTATATATTAATAAAATGTGTTTATATCACTGCATTTATGATGAGAATAACATTAAATTGGGAGGAAAATGTTTAATTGTCATGAAAATAATGCCACAATGCAAAAATAAATAGATGAAAAATAATGGTCTTAAAAATATATAAATTTGAAGAAAAAAAAAAGTCCTAAAAATTTTGCGTGTGTGGTTATGGTGTATCTATAAAGCTTTTTATTAATGCCAAATTTCATGCCATTAATTTCATTTATTATTATTGATTTATTAATAACAATAATAATTATTATTATTATTTTAGGGCAAAATATTAAGTTCATTAATTCATGACCTGGGGAAGTAATGAAATTGTAAGTAACTTCTGATTGAGAGCTCCAACAAAAGGCAAGACTCATTTGATGACTATTTGGTGTTGTTTTGTTGTAATACCCAGGAGAAGTGGAGTCTCATTCCTGCGGTTCATGTTGTGTGGAGATGCTCCGTGTTGGAGAAGAACCTTCACATTCTCCACATGTCCTGCTTGACAAGCCAGAGTCAAAGCGGTGTCTCCGTCGGCCGTCATCTCCTCCATGCTCCGCTCATAGGATGCTATTCAAGAAAAAAGTTGCACAGCAAATGCCTTATTCACATATCTAATTAGTTGTCACTCATTTGTTTGCAGTTTAACTTAGGCATGTTGTGTCTGCTCACCCAGGAGGACGCTGTCCAACACATGGGCATCCGGCTGGACTGACGCTCTGTGCATCGGAAGCCAACCTTTGCTGTCTTCTTCCTTATAGGCATCACTGTATTTTTGCAGTTGCCTCAGTGCAAACACATCACCTGGATAATATTACACACACGTATGCAAAATATCAAGCCATTGGGAAACCAAAACAGAGCATTGATATTTAGGCACGTGTATGAATTACCTTGATCTATAGCAGATAAAATCTTGAGGTTTTCATCACTGGCTGTTTCTAAAGTGCTGCGAAAGAGAATGTGTGAGACTAACACATATCCTTTTTTGAACAAGTATGTTGAAATAAGTATAATACTGCGCATACCTTAGCGGTTCGTTCAAAACAGAGAGACTGCGAGCGTCTTGGAGGCTCATTTGAATAACAAAGTCAATGAGCTGATCTTCATCCATTTGTTCCATGTAGTCCATTGTGTTTCAAAGACGCACACATGAAGAAAGCTTGATTATGAAACTGACACGAATTTCCAGTTTTCACTGTGAATCCGTCCTGAGAGATTCTGATCAACTATAGGAAGAAATGACATGCACCTCACAGCGTTGCAAAACACAGACTGACTTTGTTTTTTTCACAGGTCTGGAGGATATATTTAGTGTTGACCCGCTTTCTCTTGACACCCTGAGAATGCGGGTCATGTTGACATGGCAAAAGGATTTGAGTTCCCTCAAGTGTAGCGGCTCACAAACACACATGGTGCAAACACAGAGTTTGCTTTCTTAAAACCTAGACATAATAAGACATAATAAACTGTGCAAGACTGATATAAACACATTATATGAATGAGGATCATTTCATAATGTTCAGTTTGTGTGCTTAATGTGCAAGTAACTGTTGCTCATATTCCGTTTTTGAATTAATTTTTGGACCCTAATCCATTTGGCTGATTTGAATGTTAAAGTCTGTTAATAATATCTGCCTTTTTACAATGCAGAATTTTGCACTTAATATATTTGACATAAAAAGATATAAGAAACCAGTAAAATATGGAATGGATATGCTCATGAATATTGATTAGGTTATACTAATGATGTTTGGTGACCTTAATGAAGCTTCCAGGCACTAGACCTTTTAAAATACAATATAATTAATTTTAATGTTAAAATGTCATCTAACTTTGACCATATGCATCCTTAATTAGGTGTCTATTAAGTACATGCTAATATGATTAACATCAATGGCTCTCATAAAAGATGAATGCAGAAATAGATTCCCTCTTCACTAACTGTATGGCAATACCACAATTGAAAACCTCAAAGGTGAGGTATTTACGGTGTAGGAAACACTATGAAACTAACATCGCCATCATGTGTCTTACATATATCAGCAGTTACACAGGATGAAGGTTACCATCTAGCCATGACAAAATCGCTGTTGTGGTTTTATTTTCCAGGACTGTGAATAAAGGCAGACACACAGAGCACCTAAAAGAGCCAAAAAATAAAACTGAAAGTGCTTCACTGTTATTTAACTGGAAATTGCTACATAATTGTACTCATTATTCACATTAGAAATGTTGTGTTTGTTGTTTCTTTCAGTTGTGTGTCATGCAATGATGTTAGAGAGAATTTCTTACTTTGTGTATATTTGAGTGTCACCATCATTGTGTATTGTGTCTGAAATGTTAAGGGTCATTATTTGATTTTGTCTTCCTGATCATAAAACATGAGTTCAAGCTGTGGGTTAAATGCTGTCATTTGTAGTTAATAAAGTATATATTTCTTGGTCATTCGTGTTAGTGTAAATTATGTGGTTCTATAATATAGATTCTGATTTAATGTTTCCATTGTAGAGATCAATGTTCCTTTGAAGCAGCCGTGATTGATTTGTTTGGCATAAATTCTTTAAATGTGCAGTTGTGGATCATTAAAAATTCTTATATTGTCAATTGACCACAAGAGGGCGATCAGTTGAAGTTTTTAAAATATTTTATTCAGTGTAATTCAACTTGTCAATTCACCACAAGAGGGCGTTATGCTGAAGTTTTTTAAAGATTTTATTCAGCGTAATTCAACTTGTCAATTCACCACAAGAGGGCGTTAGGTTGGAGTTTTTTAAAGATTTTATTCAGCGTAATTCAACTTCTCAATTCACCACAAGAGGGCGCTAGGTTGGAGTTTTTTTAAAGATTTTATTCAGCGTAATTCAACTTGCCAATTCACCACAAGAGGGCGTTAGGTTGGAGTTTTTTAAAGATTTTATTCAGCGTAATTCAACTTCTCAATTCACCACAAGAGGGCGTTAGGTTGGAGTTTTTTAAAGATTTTATTCAGCGTAATTCTACTTGCCAATTCACCACAGGAGGGCGCTCAGTTGTTTTTAAAATTTTCAGTCAGTGTGACACAACTCAAGGCCTTCTGTGGGAGTGGATCATTAAAATGTTTATATTGTCAATCCACCACAAGAGGGCGTTCAGTTGAAGTTTTTTATATATATATATATTTTAAGTCAGCATAATTCAACTTGTCAATTCACCACAAAAGGGTGTTAGGTTGAAGTTTTTAAAAATTTCAGAACAACAACTAATACAACTAAAGGCCTCCTGATGGATTTTCCACATGAGGGCGACATTTATTAAAAAACAAGCAAGGACAAGCAGTTTGGAGAATGAATGGACAACAGGAACATGCATGAAACCAGATCAGAGATCAGTGTGTTCATGTGCTCCCCCTTATGCACAATAAGTGTATCTGCATTTTTATATGAACTTTAGAAAGTATGTAATTTGTTTCCTCCTGGTGAGCCATTTACCTGGGTTTAGCTCTAACCCTGATTGAAAACAGCTGAAGCAGCTAATCAAAGTCAGGACTGTTTTGATACACAATTCATTGTCATGAATTAACAAATCATGTTATTTACAGGTTATGTATATATTATCATTTTGATAAAGTTTAATAAAGTTCTTACCATTTGTGTGACTGTGCACATTTGCACAACCGCTTATATGGACCAAAACATTTTGTGCATGTAACTTAAATAATGTAGGTTTTATTCTGAGGAGCCTTTTTTATTTAAAGTTGATGAAACAATAAAGTTCATCATATAAATGAACAATGATAAGGTGTAGGAAATAATTGAATGATTTAAAAGAGAATAAAATCACAAAAGCTAAAACAAAACGTGATATGACCAATTTGTACCTCAGAGGATAATTATATGCCTTTTATATTTAAAAGTCTTGGTTCAAATCTTGTTATTTTTATATTTGAATATGAAAAACAGAAAACTAAATCTTAAAGCTTGAATTTACCATGCATAGCTCAGTTGCTCAAGAAGTAAAATATTGCATTTTGTGCTAGTCTTTTGTTCAAATCCTATTGTTGCATGTAAACCAAAACTAAATAAATACATATCCATAAAGACTTTTTTTTAAAGTTGTGTTTTAATCATGGAGTTCTGAGTTTGATTCTCACTATTGCTTATGTTAAATTGTTTTAAGTAATGCTGTAGCAAAACTGGAAACCAACCATCTGAACCCACTCTATTAGCCCAAACTTTGTGGCTTAGTGGCTAGTTGTTTGTCTGTCACTTGTGGTGTTCCTAGTTCAAATCCCACAATTGCTAAGAGTTTTCCGTCATGTAACACAAAGCTCTCAAGAAAAACCCATCCAAAACACCTTGTCAGATCTTGTCAGATTCAGTGGCTCAGGTGATAAAGCATTGCACCTGAGTTCGGTTTCCACTTTTGCTTATGTTGATTTTTTAAAGTAAATCTGTAGTTAAACTGAAAATCAGTCCATCTGTACCAACAGAAGTGTCACATGATCTGTGGTTCAGTGGTTAATTATTTGCCGGCCATATGTGCAGTTCTTGATTCAAATCCCACAGCTATTCTATCTAACACAAAGCTCTCAAGAAAAACTCCACCAAAACATCTCACTTTGTTCGTTAGACTCAGTGGCTCAAGTAGTAAAGCAGCATGTTTTAATCCAAGAGTCCTGAATTCGAAACCTACTGTGGCTTACGTTAAGTTGTTTTTTAAGTAACTCTGCATCTAAAATGAAAATCAGTCTGAACCCACTCAAACATCACAAAATCTGTGGTGCAGTGGCTAATCATTTGCCTATCAAATGGTGAGTTCTTGGTTTCAGTTCAACAATTTCAAAAAGTTTTCCATCATATAACACAAGGCTTTAAAGAAAATCACATCTAAAACACTTACCACCTTATCAGATTCAGTGGCTCATTTGAAAAAGCGTTGTGATTTAATAATGGAGTCCTGAGTTCGATTCCCACTGTTGTTTGTGTTATGATCATTATTTTTAAATAATTCTGTAGCTAAACTGAAAATCAGTTCATCTGCATCAACTCAAACATCACAAATTCTGTGGTTCAGTGGTTAATTGTTTGCCTATCAAATGTGGAGTTCTTGGTTCTCAGATGCTAAAACAATGCACTTTAATCCTGGAGGCCTGAGTTCGCATTCTGTTGTAGCTTATGTTAAATTAACTTTATTTAAAGTAATTCTGTAGCTAAAATGAAAATCAGTCTGAACCAACTCAAACATCATATAATCACATGCTGAGTTGTTGGTTCCAACAAAAACAATTTCAGAAAGTTTTCCATTATATAACAAAGCACTCAAGAAAAACCCATCCAAAATATCTTGTCAGATTCAGTGGCTCAAGTGACAAAGTATTACACTTTAATTCAGGAATCCTGAGTTCGATTCAATGAAACTCAGACTAACACAACTCAGTGGCTCAGGAGATACAGCAATTGGTTTTAATCTTGGGGTTGTGAGTTCAAATCCCACTTACATCCTTTGAACACATCCAGTTCAAAGGTCAACTTTAAATGCAAAAGCCACAGTGGTGCAGTGGTTAACGCAGATTAGTTGCAAATAAAGCTGCAACAAAGATCCCTGTTCAAATCCCACTTTTTACTTAATATAACTAAAAGGTATCCATAAAAGCCCATCCAAAAGCTCCACCGACTCAATGGCTCAGTTGATACAGCATTGCACTTATATCTTGGAGACCTGAGTTCGAATCTCATTTTAACGTCCATTCAGTTGTATATAAAACAAGGCGCTCCAAACTCCAAACTGAAATGTGAAAACTACAATGGTGCAGTGGTTAACACTCGTTACTTACAGACCTAACTGCACCAAAGACCCGTGTTCAAATCCCTCAACACCTTGCTTTTTTTCTTAAACCAACTCTAAGGTATCCATTAAACACATTCAAAACGCCTAACAGCTCCAACGATGCAGTGGCTCAATGGATAAAGCACTATGCTTTCATCTTGAAGACCTGGGTTCAAATCCCACTATTGCTTATGTTAAATTGCTGTCATTAAATCCAACAAAGTGCCCCAAACGACAGCTCTCAGTGTGAAAGCCATGATGGCACTAATGGCTAAACACACGTTGGTTGCGGACAAGGTTGCGGTAAAGGCATGGGCTCAAGTCCCACCTCGGTGTAGGGATCACACCAAAGAAAGAAAACTGTGGGAACGGCAAAGTATCTGGGGCGATACACCAAACAAAGGGCGATGGCAGCAAGAGTAGATACCTGAGGCTCAAAAAGAGTGCTCTGTGAAACACGGACTAAGCAGCAAAAATTCCTGGGGAGACAAAACAGATGGACTGCACAGCAGTCAAAGGGTGTGAAGGCAAGGCTCAAAAGACTCTGAGAAACACGGACCAGAGAAATGAAGGGTGGCTTGAGAGGCGGAGAGAGGTGAAAATGGAAGAGAGGAGGAGCAGAAAAAGGGAAAGAAAAAAGGTTTTTTTTTTTTCCAAAAAAAAATCCCCAAAACCGTGGAGTGCAACAGCAGAATGGGGATTCGAACCCTGGTCTCCTGCATCTGTTTTTGCTCTCATACCCTCTGCTCTGACCACTGGACCACCAGCACCTCACACAAACAATTGTTCATTTGTATGATTTAAGGAAAACGCAAGTGCAGACATTTTGAAAAAAAAATTTAAATAACATTTTTAAAAATCATTAAATCAGAATTTATAAGTGTCTAAAACGTAATAAACGTCAAGTGACATATACACTCACCAGTAGCACTGTGCTGGATAAATCAAACACTAAAAAAATGTAATTAAATTTAATTTAATAAATTTAATACGTTTTTAAAAATATATAAATATATAGATTTTAAGTAAGTTTGATCACATAGGAAGTGTAAAGTCATTTCAGTTTATAGAAACATCCTAATGGGTGTATATGTTCAACTACAATGTGTTTTAACGGTTAATTTAAATTTTAGTAATCAAAGAACATGTCTTAGTAATTGAACAAGAAGTTTAATAAGAATTACATTTCTATTGTTCTTTCATTTTGTTTTAATTTGTTTTTTTATTTCAATTTTCATTTTTCTTTAATTACATTTTATTCATCAATAAGCATGTCTAAATCAATTGAATTTAGTGATATTGCGTTTATACAACAGTTCGATGGAACGTGTGTAATTAAACAAGAAACAACGGAGTGCCTAATAAAACCCTCTTTTGTGTGGAACTACTTCCTTCCGCCACGGATTCAAAGCTCAAGTTGACAGTTAAACATACGTCACTTTTAGAATTCGTATCAAGGGCATGTGCTGCTTCAGTTAGGTTATTAGTGAGAAATAATGAGGTTATAAGAGAGAAACAATGCGGCAAGACGTGCATCCAAATGAGAGAGAGAGAGACCACAAAGCTAGATGTTTCTTCTTATATTAACTAACGTACTCTACGATTAGCTCAGTGAATAATAAAAAAAAAAATAGACCCGGCTAGAACAAGCGGAGTGATACAAAATTGTAAAAGGGCGTTCCTGTAGCGATACCAGTACAATATCTCACGGTTCTCAACCAATCAGATTTGAGAACCAGAACGAACTGTATATAGTTTGTTCGCGTCGGGTGGTTCTTCGCCTCCACGTCGTGCATTCAAATCGTTTAATGC